ACTGCGATCCGTATCTGTCTATCATTTGTTTACCTTTCATACTTCAATAAAACGTTTTTTTGGAAAAAAAAAAAAAAAAAGAATTATGCACCTCTAAACACAAGAAATGGGAGACCAAACCAAATAGCCACCTTCAAAACCCAAACATAGGGAGCTCCTATGCAGCAACCACTGCAGATGCATAAGACAGGGCTGCATGATTCAAGTATATACTGTGAATAAATGTGAATAAATCAAAGAGTGCGCTAAATTTAAGTAAATACAAAAATTATTAGTTTAAAATGATGTCAGTGATAGAAAAAATTTTATATAAAAGTCCATCCACCATAGCAAAATAATTAAACAGTTCTGAAATCTTGTATAAAACAAACACCGTGGGTGGGGCTTCTTTTGGATGTGACGTCTGGACTCTCTTCGTAGACTGTCGGCTGTGATATCGCGGTGAGCGAGGCTTGTCCCTGTTTTCTTGAGGCTGTCATTGCTGGTGTCCACTAGACACCCTGTTTGTGAGTGCATTTCTGACGTTTTAATAAAACATTTTGGTTTTAAACACGAGAAATTCGAGAGTTGGGCAATCGGACGAACGATCTTGAAGATAAAATGGACGCCGTGGCCACGGTCATTGAAAGTCATGAACAGGATCTGTGTGACCTCAAGAAAGAATTGGCGGACGCACTGCTCTGGCTTGAGGATTTCAAAAACTGTTCCCACCGCGGCAATTTGCGATTAAGCGGTATCCCAGAAACTGTCACAGATCTCACCTCAACCGCTACCGCTCTGTTTCAGGAGCTGACACCCGCCATTCCCATTGACCGGCTTGAATTTGACTGCATACACCGTGCATTGGGCCCCAGGCGACTGGATGGGCCCCCCGAGGTACATTATCATCAAGTTCACTTACTATCGCACCAAGGAAACTATCCTTTTGGCGGCCAGAAACAACCCAGACCTCAGATTCCAGGGGCATCGCTACCAGCTCTTCGTGGACCTCTCCCAGACCACTTTTCAGAAGCACCGCCAGTTGAAGCCCTTCTCTTCGGTTTTGTTGAACCGCAGAATTAAATACGCTTGGGGCTTTCTGTTCTACCTCACCTTCAACTACCAGGGCCGCAGCCACTCAGTTGCCATGCCGGAGGAGGCCCACTCTCTCCTGGAATCTTTACACCTTCTTTCGCCGGGAGGCACTACTGAGAGCCCAGCTCATTCATTCAGATCCCTGGTGAGGCCGCTTCCTCTGTGCCACCTCTGGGAGTGGTCGTCCAACAGGAAGAGGGCCCTCCCTTAGACCCCTCTTTGATCAAGTCCGTCCTGCTCTTCTCCAGGCTGAAGATGTATATTGGACCTCCCACGTTGTGTTTCACCATTGGACTCTCCTGATGGGAACGTGGAAGAGAGCCCTTCCCAGTTTGTTAGTGTTCCAGGTTGGGCCTGATCTGGCCTGTTCCCTTGGCTTCCATCCTTGAGTGGGGGGGGGGGCTGTCTCCTCCTGGACTTGAGGATTATGACTTTTTGCTGTTGCAGCCTACTACAGATCCGGGTGACGTTGTTCGGGTTCCCATGGTGGAATGGGCTGATGGTTCCCTCAGGCTCCGGGGTCAGAGATTGGACAGGGTAGACCCGGGTTGGATGTCGGTCCTACTGGGAGGTTGGTGGGGGACCACTTGGGCTATGTTATGGGGTTCCATGGCGGCCTGTAGTCGTCTTCCTGGAGGGGATTTGCCCCCAAGTTTAGCTGGGTTTCCATGGGGAGGTCACCGCGTATGTTCTCACTTCTGGGACATATTTTTTATTACTTTGGTACCCCCCCGTTATAATGTGTTTATTGACTTTCTGCCCCCCTGAGGGCTTATGTTTTTGATGTTTTCATTTGCAGCCATGTGTCCGGTGGTAGAGCCACCCCTAACTGGTATCCTTCAAGTGTAGGATGCACGTCACCATTGGCGTGATACGATTGTACTGTTGTACATACTTCTTGTGTTGTTTTCTTCTTATCTTTTCCTGTTTTCTTTTCTTCTCTGGTTCTTCTATTCTTGTTATATAGGGTATCGGGACACCATGGTCCGATCGCCATTGGGACTGGAAATTGTTGGCTTACTTATGCTTTTTCTGCTGAGTGTGCTGTGCTGATGCCACCATGAAAGTACATTCACAAAATGTTTAAGGCTTCAATTCGCCTCAGAAGTGGGCTAAAGTTTTTCATCACCTCAAATCGCAACAAATTGACGTGGTATATTTACAGGAGACCAGGTTTTCTCAGTCCTCCACCTCAAGGTATCTTTCGTCTCATTATCCCGCTTTTTACACGGCCTCGGCTCCCGGAAACGCCAGGGTGTACTGATAGCTTTCAAACGCAATCTCCCCTTTGTCTGTGCTTGGATTATAGCGGACCCCACGGGCAGGTATTTTCTCCTGCAGGGCACCTTCTGGGGCCAGGAGGTTACTTTTGTCTCTTACTGTGCACCCAATCGCTTTCAACATACATTCTTTTCTCATCTTTGCACCATCGTTTCCCGACACTCCAAGGGTCGTCTTCTTCTTTTGGGAGATTCAAATGTTACCTTGGATCGCACATTGGATAGGCGCCCGGGGGGCAGCCCCTTCTCACAACTTCATGCTAGAGGACCGTATGCGCTCTCTTTTGCAGACAGCGGGGCTGGCAGACGTCTGGAGGGAACTTCAACTGAACACGACTTTACATTCTATTCCAATCCTGATGACAGTTTTTGTAGACTTGACCATATATTCATGCATATCTAGCAGCTTGCCTTGGTCAGGTGGATATCTATTCCCTCCTCGCCCTGGTTGGACCATGATCCCCTGGTACTCCTCCTTGCCCTCTCTGGGTCGGCATGGCGCATTAATGATTCTCTATTGACCACTCAGGTTACCTGCCAACAAATAGAATCTTTCTTCCGCACATACTTTACGGAAAACTCGGGATCTGTCTCCTCGGCAGAGCCCCTGTGGGAGGCTCATAAAGCCATGGTGCGGGGGTCATGTTATACAGTTGGCGGCAGTTCGGAAGCAGGAGCGGGAGCACCGACTTTTGGAGCGTCATTCTCTACTGGCCTCTGCGGATGCTCATTGGAAGTCATTTCCATACGTGGCCCATAAACGCACATGGAACGCTCTGGGTGCAGAGTTGGACCTACTTGCTTCTTTGGAGGCAGAACGGGCCCTATGTTGGACCAAACACAAATTTTATTCCTGTGCTAATAAGACGGGTCTGATGCTGGCCAGGAAACTCAATTCTGTGGGGAAACCCCATAAACCAATCCGACTGAGACTTCTCGCGGGTGGCTGTACTTCTAATCCCCAGCAGATTGTTTCTCGTTTCGCAGACTTCCTTTCCCGCCTTTACGCTAAACCATATTCCTTCCCTGTGGCTCAGGCAGAGGCATTCTTCCAAGATCTCCAACTTCCTGGATTATCCGAGGCAGCGTAGATGGTCTTCAACGCCGGTGTCATTGTATCGGAAGTGCTCCAAGCTATCAAATCTCTACAGTCCACCGCGGCCCCAGGTCCCGACAGCTTCTCCGGTCTCTATTATAAGAAATTTGCAACCCTGTTGGCGCCCTTCTTGGCTGACTATTTCAATGAGTTACGACAGGACTCTTTGCCCTCTCCTTGTGCTTAGAGCTCATATCTCCATGATTCCTAAAACGACCGATGATGTGCAGGAACTGCAAGACTTCCGGCCCATTTCTCTTCTTAATGAAGACCTGAAGATATGTGTAGGATGCACATCACCATTGGCGTGACACGATTGCACTGTTGTATATACTTCTTGTGTCATTTTCTTCTTTTCTTTCTTTGTTTTTTTTTCTTCTCTGGTTTTTTGTTTTTGTTTTATGCAGGGTTCCGGGATGCCACGGTCCGATTGCCAGTGGGAGTAGACATTGTTGGCTGCTTTATGCTTTTTTTGTTGAGCATGCTATGCTGATGCCGCCATGGCCTCGCCCCTTTTGAAAATACATTCACAAAATGTTCAATTCGCCTCAGAAGCGGGCTAAAGTTTTTCATCACCTCAAATTGCAACAAATTGACATGGTATGTTTACAAAAGACCAGGTTTTCTCAGTCCTCTGCTCCACGTTATCTTTCACCTCACTATCCCACCTTTTACACGGCCTCGGCTCCTGAGAAGCCTCGGGGTGTACTGATAGCTTTCAAATGCAATCTCCCTTTTGTCTGTGCTAGGAATATAGCGGACCCCACGGGCAGGTACGTATTTACTTCTGCAAGGCACCTTCTGGGACCAGGAGGTTACTTTTCTCTCTTACTACGCGCCTAATCGTTTTCAACACAAATTCTTTTCGCATCTTTGCACCATTGTTTCCCGACACTCCAAGGGTCTTCTTCTTGTTTTGGGAGATTCAGATGTTGCTTTGGATTCCACATTGGATAGGCGCTACACACGGGGGGCGGCCCCTTCTCACGACTTAGTGCTGGAGGAACGTATGCGCTCTCTCTTGTGGATGGCGGGGCTGGCGGACGTCTGGAGGGAACTTCACCCAACTGAGCGCGACTTTACATTCTAGAGGACCGTATGCGCTCTCTTTTGCAGACAGCGGGGCTGGCAGACGTCTGGAGGGAACTTCAACTGAACACGACTTTACATTCTATTCCAATCCTCATGACAGTTTTTGTAGTAGAATTGACCATATATTCATGCATGCTCAGCAGCTTCCCTTGGTCCGGCGGATTACTATTCCCTCCTCACCCTGGTCGGACCATGATCCCTTGGTACTCCTCCTGGCCCTCTTTGGGTTAGAACGGCGCCCTTTTCATTGGCGCATCAATGACTCTTTATTGACCACTCTGACTACCTACCAACAAATAGAATTTTTCTTACGAACATACTTCACGGAAAACTCGGGATCGGTCTCTTCGGCTGTGCCCCTATGGGAGGCGCATAAGGCCACGGTGCGGGGTCATGTTATACAGCTGGCGGCGGTCCGGAAGCGGGAGTGGGAGCATCGACTTTTGGAGCTTCATTCTCTCCTGGCCTCTGCGGATGCGCGTTGGAAGTCATCTCCATCCGCAGCCCATAAACGCTCTCGGGACGCTCTGGCAGCAGAGTTGGACCTACTTGCCTCTTGGGAGGCGGAACGGGCCCTGCGTTGGACCAAACACAAATTTTATTCCTGTGCTAATAAGCCGGGCCCGATGCTGACCAGGAAACTCAATTCTGTGGGGAAACCCTATAAACCGATCCGACTGTGACTTCCTATAGGTGACTGTAATTCTAATCCCCAGCAGATTGTTTCCTGTTGCTCAGACTTCCTTTCGCGCCTCTACGCTAAACCAGCTCCCTTCCCCGTGGCTCAAGCAGAGGCATACTTTCAAGATCTCCAACTTCCTGGGTTATCCGAGGCAGCACAGGTGGCCCTCAACGCCGGTGTCACCGTACCGAAAGTGCTCCAAGCTATCAAATCTTTACGGTCCACCGCGGCCCCAGGTCCCGACGGCTTCTCTGGTCTCTATTATAAGAAATTCTCAGCCCTGTTGGCACTCTTTTTGGCTGACTATTTTAATGAGTTACAACAGGGCTCCTTGCCCTCTCCAGATGCACTTAGAGCGCATATCGCCATGATTCCTAAGACGACCGATGATGTACAGGAACCGCAAGCCTTCCGGCCCATTTCTCTTCTTAATGAAGACCTGAAGATATTGGGCAAGATCCTTAGTTTTTCGCATCAATAAATATATTTGCGTAGCCTGGTCCACAGGGACCAGGTAGGGTTCGTCCATGGGAGGCAGGCGGGTGATAATGTTCGTAAGGTGGTCCATCTTATACATTTTCTGCAATAGCGGAAAATCCCGGGATTCTTACTGTCTTTAGACATATATAAAGCCTTTGATTCTCTATCCTGGGAATATCTGCGGTTTGTGCTGTCTCGTTGGGGTTTTGAGGATTCTATTCTTCTTGGATTCAGGCCTTGTATTCTTCTCCTTCGGCCTCCGTTAAATACGCTGGGTATTTTTCAGATCCCTTCCCTATTGGGCGAGGGACGAGACAGGGTTGCCCCCTGTCCCCAGTGCTCTTTGTCCTGGAGCTTGAGCCGCTGGCTTTAGCGCTCCGGACTGATTGCAATGTATCGGGGTTTCCTTACGCGGGACAGAAGTTCAAGCTGAACCTTTTTGCGGAGGATGCCCTCCTGACTCTTACTAACCCCTTGACGACGGTTCCTAATTTGCAACAGGTTCTTGAGCGCTTCTCCTTGATTTCAGGTCTCCGTATTAACTTGGCAAAGACTGTTGCTCTCAATATTACTTTGGCTTCGGATTTGGTTTCGCGCCTACAATCCCACTTCCCTTACAAATGGGCTTCCTCTTCTCTTGAATACTTAGGCATTCGCTTGACCCCCACCTATGACTCCTTGTTTGCTGCAAATTATTATCCATTGCTTAGCTCTCTATCCTCTCTTATTCATTCTTGGCAATTTCCCACCTGTCTTGGATAGGACAGGTTAATTCGGTGAAAATGACCATCTTGCCGAAATTGTTATATTATTTTCGCACACTCCCAGTGCGGGTTCCCCCTCATTTTCTTCGGTTGCTTCAGGCAAAGTTTATGCGTTTTATCTGGGCCGATAAGCACCCCAGAGTATCCAGAAATACGCTCTTTGCTCATAGACTCCAGGGTGGTCTTGGGGTGCCTAATGTAACTAAGTATTATCAGGCGAGCCAGATTGCCCCGCTGTCTATGTTGCACGCCTTTTCTGACGTTCCCCTCTGGGTCCTGTTGGAACTACCTAATTGTGCCCTATTGCAACGTTGAAGCTTCTATAGCTTCCCCCTGCCCTGCTCCCTATGGCACTGAGTCCGATGTTGCTTCATGGCTTACAAGTCTCGGACTCGGTACGTTACTCCGGTGGCCTGATGTCACCTTTTCTGCCTTTGCTCCCAATTATAAACAACCCTCTTTTCCCACCAGGTTTAGATCACCCAAGGGCGTTTTCTTGGTGGGTGACTAATGGTTTTTCGCAGGTGCGACACTTTTTGATTTTTCGGTCCTTCCCTACCTGGAATTCTCTACAGGAATCCCGGGATGTCCCCTCGGCGGAATTCCTTTGATACCTTCAATTGCGGCACTGGCTGCTCTCGCTGTGGGGCACTTCTGCTTTCCCGTACCAGAAATCTGCCTTTGAACAGCTTTGCCAGCAGCGTCCGGGCCCCCCCGAGCCTTATATCCCTTCTTTATGCAGCTCTGAACAGATGCTTGTCGCATACTTCTCTTTCATATGTTGTTCAGTGGGAGCGCGACCTGGGAGCGGCTGTGGATCCGGAGGACTGGAATAAGGCCTGGTCACTCATAGCTAAATGCTCATTTAATACGACCACACTGGAGGCAGCCTATAAGATATTGTTTAGTTGGTATTGGGTTCCGGCTCGGTTGGCCCAGGCTAACCTTGCCTGTAGGAGATTTTGGAGCACTACATGCTTCCTTCCGCAGACGAGCTTTATGGGGATGCTGATTTCATTTTCCAGCAGGACTTGGCACCTGCCCACACTGCCAAAAGCACCAAAACCTGGTTCAATGACCGTGGGATTACTGTGCTTGATTGGCCAATGGGGCATTGCCAAGAGAAAGATGAGAGACATGAGACCGAACAATGCAGAAGAGCTGAAGGCTACTATTGAAGCCTCCTGGTCTTCCATAACACCTCAGCAGTGCCACAGGCTGATAGCTTCCATGCATTGAGGCAGTAATTGCTGTAAAGGGGCCCAAACCAAGTACTGAGTACATATGCATGCTTATACTTTTCAGAGGTCCGATATTATTCTATGTACAATCCTTGTTTTATTGATTGCATGTAATATTCTAATTTTCTGAGATGGTGGATTTGGGGTTTTCATGAGCTGTAAGCCATAATCATCACAATTATGACAAATCACGGCTTTAACTATCTTGCTTTGCATGTAATGAGCCTATCTCATATATTAGTTTCACCTTTTAAGTTGCATTACTGAAATATATGAACTTTTACATGATATTCTAATTTTTCGAGTTTCACCTGTAAGTGCCAAATTATGAATTTGATATAAATGTTTATCAGGGGTGAAAGACAGGGAGAGAGAGGGGGGTAAGAGGGAGAGAGTAATGCAATGCTGGACACGATAACTAAAAGCAAGTCATATACACACAATACACAGGTACGTTTAACCAGCATTTACACCATTATTCTAAGCATGTGAGGACACCCACTACCAAATGAACACCTGCCTTGGCACATCATAGCATTCACTCTGCACTCCAAGAAATAACAGAATTCAACTGCAGTATTCTTGTACTGTCAAAACCTGCACTTTTATTATCACATGACACACAATATATCTTATAGTCATCACAATCTGTATAATAACACACACCAATAATAATGTGAGTACTACAGCATGAAATAGATATATCTTTTGACAGCATCACAGCAGAGAATTAATACGTTACCAAAGCTACGGGAAGACAGGAAGGAACAAACCCCATCGGAACCATATTGCACAGGGGGTCACAGAGAAGCCTTAATTGCAACCAATTGTTGAGCCCATATATCCTTGGCAAGAGTCCCAGCATCAGTGCATCCCATTTTGCATAGGAAGGCTCCCAACTGTGTTTCGGTTCCCCGTTAAATATCCCCTTCTGGCTTCTGGCAACCTTCCCAAATTGGGTGGGCACCATGCCCACTCCGGGAGGAGCTAACAGAAAAGTCCCATGAGAATAACAGAGTCACACCCAGCCACACATACTGAATAAATGTCTTATCTCACAATATCACACTTTTGCCACAAATCAGCTTCTTTTCTACCCTTAACTTAAAGATTTCTAACTTAAACATCTTTTCTTATCTAATTTAAGCAGTCTAATGTAACATTTCTGGATGTCACAAACATGTTCAATCTCACAAACACTTATCTGCTTTAAGCAGTCTCTTGCGACTCTGTTCCTTTAGCCTAGAGAAATGACATCGTCATTTCTCGTGCTTCTGGCATCTGGGCAACGATTCTTTATTGTAAAAATTCCCCAAGGAACAAAGGGTCCAAGGCCAACACATTTCAAAGACATTACATTCCACCCCTTGGCATTGGTCTATTAGTTTCCGGAATCAAATACCAGCCCAGCTTCCATGTTATTATTAAAGACAATAAACAACTCACAATAAATAAGTACCCACTTCAGTAAGGTTCCAGCCAGCCCGCTGAACATTCCTCCCAATCCCAAGGTCCAGTCAAAATCCTTAAAAAATATGAGATACTTCCTGTTATATCCCAGGTGGTGTCATTAATAGGCTTGAGACAGGCCTGAACCTCCTCCAATCATTCAACTTCATGGAAGATTTGTCCAGTCTCATCCTCTATAAAAGAACAAAAGGCATCTCCTACCACATGGTAAACACCACCTTGGGCCACCAGGGTGGGTCCAGAGCCATGCGGTTCTGAAGAACCACCAGGCGCATTTGTTCTTGTTCAGCTGACACTGCAGAAATAGCCTCACCTGGGGCATTGAAAGCTTTAAGTACATTAGTACATTAAGCAAATAATCCATTTTTGTGTATAAATCTTCCACACCTATCTGGGGAAAGACTGATTTCCAAAACTTTCCAGCTCCCGTGGTTCTGACATTTTGGTACTTGTCCCGGGAGCGTTTCTCCCGAGGTGAGATGATGCGGGAATAATGAGACAGCCCTCCTGGGTATTTGGGCAGTGTGTCCACCCTATAGATGGATGGAACCACAAAGCCCACAAGGGTCCTGTTGCTCACATGGGGGAGTCTTGTAAGCCCGATCTCCACACAACCAATATACTGTAAATTTCTTGCAGGGAGAGGGGCTATGGATGCCTTGCAACTGCTAGCATCATACTTATAGTCCATAATTTTTGTACCGTGCTGGTATACGCATAGTTTGTATGTTTCCTCTACCTTTATCTAATCTATCCCTTCCCCTAGAGTGATCTAATGTGGGAGCAAGTTCTGAGCTCACTTTTCCCTTATCTGCATTCCCAAACCACCAATAGAACAACCAAGCATCCTCCTCATCTTTCGGTCCCCGGGGTGCCCACTGTTTCTTTCTTAACCCCTCATAGTCCCAATGCGGGGCACATTGCCACTGCAAAAGCACATTACAGTGATGATGTTGACCAGTAGTAGTCAATATCACTGTAATGGGCATAGTTTTGTCAGTTGTAGGGAGGCCACCTGACCTCAGGTATAGTCTGACTACCGCCTGTTCTTGGATAGTTCTCAGGAGGTGAAGTGGGGGAGCAGAATGAGTCTGATCCACCTTCCACCACTCTATGGTAAAATGTTCTCTTATTGCTTTGACCAGTTCAGGCATTGTCAAAGCCACCCCCAGGTAAGGCATACCTGTCTGGTGACTCTGAGGGGCATGTGCACACATCCAGCATGGTTTGCAGTAATCCTCAGCCAAGTACACCGCCTGCATTGATTGAAACAATGAGTTGTGCGCTTCCCACTGGCTGGGATTCCTTGGTGGCAACATAGGTCCACAGTACCTTCTCCACTGGATTAACACCTCTACCACCCATTGTTGTTCTATTATGGTAGCATTAGTACAAAAATACAATCCTTCATTTTCTTTTACTTCAAATGTGTATATTGCTTGACCCTCTAGAATAGTGTCCA